TTTTTTATTAAAAAAAAATTAAACCTTTTGTTTTCCTGAGTAGATAGAACAAATCATTAACATTTTCACTTTTCCTTTTTAATACCAACAAACCAACCAGCCCATTGCTGTCAAGTCGATTCTGACTCATAGCGACCCTACAGCACAGAGTAGAACTGCCTCATAGGATTTCCAAGGAGTGCCTGGTGGATTTGAATGGCTGACCTGTTGGTTAGCGGCCGTAGTTCTTAACTACTACGCCACCTTTTTAATACATTATACAAATATAATCTAAGATGATTAAGCAGAGGTGTGGGTCAGATTTGAATAATTTTATTCACTTTTCAAAAACAACCACTTTCTGCTGACACTTGGTTAACTTAATCTTAGATACTGAGCTGCTTGCTGAATCTCTGATGTCTAAATAATTTGACCATGGCTATGTTTTTGAACCCAACAGTAGGCAACCACATTCGAGTATGTACTCCTACTTCCCTTTTGTCTCTTCCTAGAATTTGAATAAATTCCTGCCAACAAATGTTGCTAATGTATATGGTTCTAATGATCAGCTTGCAAAGTAGCTCATATGGAAAATGTGAAACAAGGAAACAAGTCTTCTGCCCTTGTCCCACAATGTGATTTCAGTGAATGTATGTTCTTGCATGATGAGCAAATGATTGTCATCCTGAAAAGTCTCAAGGGACACGGATGTCATTTTAATAAGTAAATTAAAGGGTACATCTTTTTATGAGAAACCACATAAATTTGTGACCTGTCGCAGAAAATAGTTCTCTAATTAGTTTTGTGTGGTGATGCAGTGGCACCGATTTCCCTGGACGTCACCCCAGAGAAACTCCACTGTACATCATGGTCAACAGCTCAGTGAAATCTCCCTAATAAGAGGGGGACTACAGAAATGTGGTCAGCCTCAAGAAAACAAAAAGTTGGTTCATATTTCACTCCCCCAACTAATATTATCAGCTTAAGATTAAAAAAAAAAAAATCTATTGAAGAACCAGCTAAATGCTGACTTTGAAACCTTGTAATTATGGTAAATTTCTTTATAATTCCCATTTGTATCATATTTGTTAACAGGGCAATTTTATTCCAAATAGTTAAAGAGTTGCCCTGAATTCTGATAGCTATGTCTTTATATAGCACTAAAAGTTCTGAATTGAAAAATCAAAAATCAATTTGTAGTGCTCTAGATGTCAAACTTCTTATGTATAAGACATCAGACTAAATGACTGAATTTTTTTTAACATGTACTGACATATTTCTCATCACATGAGTTCATCTTCCTACAAGAATTAATTTTAACATAAATGAAAAGGCTTTTGAGTTAGTAAAGAATTATGTAAGGTCATCTAGGAGTACTAGAGTTAATATCTTAGGCCCAGTCCGCTCCTAAAAAAGGAAAGAGAATGAAATTATTGGCAAGGAAGACATTAATAACTTTGACCCCACTTCAAATAAATTTACTATTCAGAAGGATGATTTTATATTGTATTTGTTCAGAAGTGGGCTCGATTTTGATACTTACGTTTTAAACAAACAAACTCTGAACTTCTTTCAATCAATATTTGTTTCATATGAGCTGCTGACAGCATTATTTCTTTTTTCAAAACATGGCAAAAGATATTGTTTCTACCTTGTGGTCTTTGTGAACTATGCAACAGAACTGTTAACACTTGGCCGTCATCTACATAAAATCACACTCTAGCAAAAATTGCTTTTACTCTAAGAATACATGGCCTTCAGAATAACTTTTCAGATTTCCTTTGTTACAGAAATTTAAATTCATGTTATGAATGTATATGTGTTTTCCTAACTGTCTGATTAAAGATCACAAAGAAAATCTTGATTTTGCATCTCACATTAGCAGATGGTGGACAGATGGTTTAAATTAATATTAATTTTGAAAAACTTAGCTTAAATTGTTTATACTGAAGATTAAAAGTTGGAAAGCCAGCTAACATCTCCAGAGTTATTAGTACTTTCAGATCCACTTGAAACATAAAATCCAGAAAATCAAAGCATCTACTTCTAAACAATCTGCATCTTAACCAGGAAGACAGTAGGTAAAACAAAATGCCTTGATGTTGAAATTACAGGAAGAATGAGAAAGAGCAAACACAGATCCTAAAAAGAAAAGAAGCTTGAAAAAAGAGAGAGAAAGAATTATATCTACAAATTGCTTTAAAATAATCGATGATTTTTTAAAGAAACCACGCACACCCAAATGTTTATTTTAGAAGCAGTTTATTAATAGTTTGTGCTGACTAGAACCAATTTTTCCGCATTCCACATTTTGTTTGTTTGTTTGTTTTTATTGTTGTTGTTAGTTGCCATCAAGTCAGTTCTGACTCATGGCAACCCCAAGTGTGCGGAATAGAACCGCTCCATAGCGTTTCCAAGGCTGTGACCTTTCAGATGTCCACGCCTATCTCCTGAGGCACCTCTGGATGGATTTGAACCGCTACTGGCTAGTAGTTGAGCTCCTAATCATTTGTGCCCCCTA